CAACCCAATGCCCGTTTCCCGTATGCCGTACCTGTGTCACCTTTGGCCCCGTGCCCGCACCCTCACACCCGCCTGGCTGACTGGCACACCAACACCGCCACCGCATACGCCCGCCACCGTTCGCAACCATCTCCTGCATCGTCCTGTCGCTCCACCTCGACCACCGTGCTGCGCTGCGTCTCCACTGAGGGAAGGAGCACCTACACCCGCTGGCTATAGATACAGATTGTCCATTTCAGTCATTGTGCCACGGGGCGTCGTGAGATAGTCAAGGGGCTGGAGAGAGAGAGAGAGAGAGAGAAAGAGAGGAAGAGAGGCGATGCAACAGGCGAGAAACAGGGACACAGCGAGACCGACAACGTGCGTCCCCGACAGCAGATCGACGTCTGCGCAGCGATCCATACCGCAGTGCTGCGGCAACCGTGGCACCGGTAGCGCCAGCGTCCATTATCGAGCGCACCCTTCGCGCTGCGCAAGCCGCAGCCTCAGAGCAGGACCCACGCACCGGCGGCGACGGCAGCGGCCAGGATGCCGCCGACAGATCCGCCCAGAGCGCGCGCGCCGCTGCGGATAAAGTTGTCGTCCGGACCCTGCGCCTGGCCACCGGTACCGACGGGGGCGGGCGCCACCCCGGTGCCCGCAAACGGTCCGTCGGTGATGACGGGCGCAGTCGGGTAGCTCGACAACGTCTTGCTCGTCGAGCTCGGCGCCGCGGATCCAGAGCCGCTGCCACTGCCACTCGCACTGCCGCTCGCCGCACTGCCCGTCGCAGAGCCAGAGGCGGAGCCGCTTCGGCTCGTGCCTGCCAAGTCACAAGACAAGGCGAGGGGAGATAGCAAGAGGTGGGTCAGTACGTGTGCCAAGGTGTTGAGATGGCGCTGCAGAGGTAGTCATGGCGTGCGGCCGAGAACCACTCACCGCTGGCGCTTCCAGAGGGTGCGGCGCTACCCGAGCCAGACTGCGTCGCCGAGCCAGATCCAGAGGCAGCGGCCGAGCCCGAGCCCGATGCCGTGGGCGAAGGCGACTGCGATGCGGATCCCGAGTTGGAAGCCTGCTGCGCCGCCACCGTGCTCAGCGCGGCAAGAAAGAGGCAGAATGCAAAGAGGAGCGAGAAACGCATGGTGGCTGAAGGCTTGGTCGTCGGTGTGAAGTCGTCCGGTAGTTGAGCGGCCAGCGGAAGCGAAAGAAGGTGGAATCGGCTCAAAGTTGGAGACGCGTCGATGAGGTGATCGTTCTTGCGGTCCGCAACAAAGGCGCTCTAGCGTAGGTGATGGGACGAGGCGGGAGGGGCGCAAGTGGAGACCTGCTACCAAGGGAGACGAAGCGATGCTGGCGAGCGAAGACGTGTGCGAGTCGTGTATGGTTGACGAGATACGCTTTGGCGGCTTCAGTGGCAGTCGCAGAAGGTGGGGCGGTCAGGGGATAGGCAGCAGGCAGAGACGGAAGTAGCGCTCGAGGAGGAGGAGGAAGAGGAGGTGGTGGTGGTGGTGGTGGTGGGGGGGCGGGCGCCTGGTGGGTCCAAGCGGACCCCTGGCGTGCATGCCTCACCCTGGCCGCCCGCCCGCTTGCGCTGCCGAAATTTCAAACCGGCCAGGCCGCCTGCCCGCCCGCCCGCGCCAATCCGACCGCCCTCGCCTCGACCTCTTCGCGGTTCCGACGACAGCCAGGCCCAGCAGGCTTTGCCAGCCCAACCTCGCCCCCTTTGGCGAAGGCCGCCCTGGTGTCCCCCAGACAGTGGTGATGTCGGCAGTCGTCGTCATCGTCGTGGCTGTTGGCATCAAGGCTGCTCCGCACGAGTGTCGAAAGATATAGCGCCTGCCACACACTTATTCTCCATGACGAGCGGCGAGCGACGCGATCATTGCTGAGCATCGCGCTTGCTTTCCCCCCTCTAGTCTTCGGCATCGTCCCCTAGCGATCCGCCGCGGCTCATGGCGTTCCAGTACCGCCGCATGCCTGCGCCTTGCTTGCCGTCTCGCCCCGACGACGCAGCGCCATCGGCTGTCGGCACTGCTCTCCGCCCTCCGCCCTGCTTCCTCGTCTCATCGCCATCGGCATCGATGCGGCTGCCGTCGGTCCAGTCGACGTAGGGGCTCAGCCGCGAGTCCTGCGGGTGCGCCTTGACGCGTGCGCTGTCGACCCTCGACTCCATCTCATCCAGGATCCGCGCCAGCGACGGGTGCACCTGCGTCGCGATGCTGCGCAGCCGCTCGTCCTCATCAAACTGCTGAGCCGCCAGCGCGGAAGTCTCCGACAGCGATGGCGGGTACTGGTGCTTGCTGACCATGGCCTGGTCAGAGGGAACCGGCCGGGGCGCAGGTCGCCCGAACCGCTTCGGAGGCCACAGGATCGCATCGATCCGCGCAGTGATGAGGCCGACGGGGACCTGAATTGCGCAGACACAAAGGCGGGTCAGGATGGTTCAAGGCGTGAGCACTCCGTCGGATCCACCAGGGTACGGCCTTTGCTCGCCAGTCGGCCGCGACTGGTGCAGACTCACTGGTCCAAACTCGCGACTGTCTCGACTCTTGCCCTTGGCCATGGGGCCATTCCTCGCCACGCCGTATCCAGCCGTCCTGCCGAGGCTTCCGGGGACGATGTCGACCGCTGCATCGCCCTCGATCCATACGTGGCCTGGGGGCACCTTGAGTCGCGTCCACTTGCCGCCGCGGCCTGTGGCGTCTGGGGCCCACACCCGGACCACGTCTCCCTGGAGCGCGATGATCCTCTTTGTGAGGAGCTGGTTGGGATCGAGCGGCGAGATGAGGACGACAATGTCGCCCACCTTGAACTTGCCCTTGGCGGCCGCCAGCCGGTTGAGCAGGACGACGTCGGAACGGCTGTTGGCCGCCGATGCTTCGGCAAAGGGGCCGTTGAAAGTGGGCTGCAGCGCAGGGCGGACGAGGCAGCAGGCAGGTGGCGACCGAGGCAGCCGGGTCAGCCAGCCGGCGAACGAGTCAGCCAGAGTAGGGCAGCGCTTCGGCGACATCCGAGTCTGCTCTGCACGCTGCTCTTCCACTCACGCTCATGCTGCCTCCAGTAATGTTGCCGATGCTGCAGAAGTGGGCGGTGACAAAGGCGGCCACGGGGATCCAGCAGGCGATGCGCCAGAAGATGGAGCGTGGCCTCCGTCGACGCAGTGGCGGAAGCGTCCATCCTCGCTGCGATCCGTTCTCTTCGCGAGCCGGCGCCTTTTCCGACGCCGGCTGCGTTGCTGTGCTGGTCTGAGATCGAGTTTGTAGCCTGGCAGATGATGTCGCTGAATGGCTACGTGCGACCGGCACAGCCGCGTGGAGGCTTGTTGGTGGTCTTGACACTGGTCCACGGTCCGGTCGAGGGCAGCATGAGGACAGCGGACGGCGCAGTCCTGGTATTTCGGCCCTTGCTCCGGCGCGGTCCGCTGCGACAGAAGTCGCCTGAGCAATCCTGAGGGCGGAGGCCTGTCGCGACAGTCGCGACATGCCTCCGCCGCCTCCGCCGCCGACACCGCACCGTGACGACGCCTGGGCCAGCATCGATGGCCGTGCCGGCGAAGAGCGTCAGGAGAGCAGCGGAACGATTCCGAAGGGCGGTTGCTGCCAAAGGAGGCGTAGGTTTGACGAGTCAGCTAGCCTGCGTACGGACGGGCGAGCGAGTGTGATGGTGGAAGATGGTGAGGATGGAAGGGCGAGAAGAGTGGCCGGGGTGCTGCCAAGGTTGCGAGCCAGCTTAGCCAGCTTGCTTGCTCTCTCGGTCTCGGAAGGAAGCCGGACCGCCTGGCCTGGCCTGGCCGCCTGGCTGCTGCGCTGACGTGCACGCGGAACAACCGAGGTGGAGAAGGTCCAAGCAAGCAAGCAAGGTCGGCGGCCAGCGGTGGGGTCGGCCAGGCCAGGCCGTCCCTTCGCTGGCTCCCTGGCCCGGCTGGCCCTGGCGCTAGCCCTCCGGCGGCCTGGCCCTGCCCCAGCGAGGGCCCTTGCCAACCACCAACCAACAACCAACAACCAACAACTGACCACCGGCGAGCCCCCCTCCTCCCCTCCTTCCTCGCTCTCCGACCACTAGCTCTCGCTCCGTCCTCGACCGCCGTCGCCTTTCGACTACGACCAGGCCTGCCTCTCCCGCGCTTCAAGACGATCCCCCATCACGCTTTGGCAGCTTCCTCTGCATCGAACCTCGATCTGGCGGCAGGTCCGCTCCCAAGGCTGCCCTCGCCGGGACCCGGCCGCTTGCCACTTGCTTCCTCTGTCCAGAAGGCCAGGCTGAACCTCGGCATCGGTCCGACGCCGCGCCATCGCCTCGTCGGGGAACGACAAGCAAGTGGTAGGGCAGCTGGCCTGGCGGTGCACCTATCGGCCTTGCTGGCAGCGCTTTCACCAGCGTGATAGACAGACCAGACCGCGAGGATCCCTGCCAACCCCACACTTGCCTCGCCCCACTGCCCGGAACAAGATGTCGGGCGCTGTCGCATCGACCTATGCCACGCTCAAGTCTGGCCTGGGCAACGTCACCCTCAGCCCGCTCAAGACGGCCTACCACTTCATCTTCCCCCCGCTCGAGGACCTCCTCATCGAGCACGGCGGTGACTATGCCGCACAGCGGACCCGAGCCAACGAGGCCAGGCAGGCTGCCGCTCTCGAAGGCGGCGTCGTAGGTGCCTCGCATCGGAACCTTCTCAACCGCGACGACGTGTATGGCGGCAGCGCCGGTGGCGGTGGCGGTGGCAGTGGCAGTGGCAGTGGCAGTGACAGCGACGATGCCATCGAAGCAGTCTGGGACGGCTTCAGCGACAGCCCCTGGAGCTTCATCACCAGCCGCTACGCCATCGCCCTCTTTGCCATGGCACTCATCACCAACCGGATCCAGCACATCTGTCGACCGCGCGGCGGCCGCGCGGTCCGCCTGCCCCAGGCAAAGAGGCTCGCCCTCCGCCTCCCCAGCATCCTCCTCCTGACCAGGGCCGTCGTCATCCTCGCCGTCATCACCTCGAGCCTCTTCTTCTCCGAGTCGGCCCCCATCAACCGCCTCATCAGCCTCGCATCGACGAGGTCGTGGAGAGAGGCATGGCTTGCTTACAAGCCCATCGGGGGCTGGGCGCAGGGCTACTTTGGCTCGGAGTCGCACGATGCCATCGCCAGGGCCAGGGACGCAGCCGCACTCTGGGCATCCTTCACCGCCACCTGCGTCGCTGTCGTCACCGAATCCCTCATCCGCAGTCTCGAGGCAGAGTGAGTTTGACGAGTCGCCGACGCTGACCCCAAGCGCTCGCCGCCCTCTTCGCTGACACCCGTTGTCGTGCTCTTGCCTTGCCTTCGTCGGCCTTCTGCCCCTACCGCTCCGCCGCTCGACAGCCGCGAAGAGGCGCCCTCGTTTAATCTGGTCGGCTTCGCCTTTCTGCTGCACTTCCACTCGTTTTCCCCCGAGCACGAGGCCACCAAGCACGTCTACCTCTGCATCCTGTTGCAGATCACCGAGGTGCTTGCAGTCGGGCTTTCCAAGTGCCGCAAGAGGTGCGTGGGCCGCTCAGGGCCGGGCTCCGCTCAAAACGTCCGCAGACCCTGCCCGCGACTAACCAACCTTTGCACCTCACTCTTTCTGCTCCGCGCTGCGCTCGACTGCAGACCCCTGGCGCCTCGACTGGCCGTGACGTCGGTCTTTGGCATCACCGCGACAGTGCACTATCTCCTCACCCTGAGCGACGGCACCTACCCGTTCATGCTGGCCTTCAGCCGGGCGCCCGAGATCGCCCTGATGGTCATCGTACTGCTGACGGTCACGCTCCACGCCCTCACCATGTTCCTCACCGGCGAGCGGGTCGAAATGGGGCGGCTGCTCTTCAATCGCTCGAACATGCCTTCGATGAGCGACGACTGGTCGCTGGCCCTCTTCAAGGTCGGCACCGCGTGCCTCGAGTCGACTCGGCTTACGGGCCTCTCGCAAGAGGTGGCGCCGCTCCAGGCCTACGAGGGGCCGTTTGTCGAGATGCTGCGCAACGGCAACGTCCGCATCATCGACGCAGACCGGGGCCGCCTCCCGGAAGACGCTCGCCTCTCTGGAAGCGGCGATCAGCTTCGACACGACGTCGCCGGCGGCCTCAGCCGCGAGATCAAGCAAGTGCGCGTCGAGGACTCGGCGGCCGCGCGGCCCTCGGGCCTCATCTCCTCGGCCAGGCTGCGAGAGGCGAAGCGCTTCCTGCTGCAGCTCTACAGCACCCTGCGGGCGCTCATGGTGCTGAGCGTCACCAAACTCTGCAGCGCCGTCGGGCTGCCGCCGCCGAGCGTGCCGCAGTGGGTCTACAGGCTGCTGCGCAGGGTGCGGCTTCTGTGGCACGGCCGCAACGGCGAGGAGCGAAGGGAGCAGCGCCTAGCCGAGGAGCGGAGGAACCGGCTATCGCAAGAGTCGCGACGCGCCTACATGGCGTGGGTCAGCGGTCGAGACGGGTCCAGCGCGACGCCAGGCCGGCTCGCTGCAAGGATGCGGCCGAGGCCGCGGCGGATCGCATCGGCCGACGCCGTTGTGGCGAGCGCAGATGGACGGTCATCGGCGCAGCAAGTGGGCAGTGCTCGGCCGTTCGTGGCGAGGCCGCGCAGCCGTGCAGCATCGCCGTCGCCCTCGTCCTCGCTGCTGGACGCGATGCTGTGGCAGCGTTTTCTGGCGCCGGATGCGCCGATACTCGAGGAGGACGAGGAGGACGAAGACGACGGCGAATACGCCGACGAAGGGGCTGATTCAGAGGGTGAAGAGCTGTCGAGCGACGAGGAAGAGGGCGGCGAGCTGCAGGCGGACCGAGGGTCGCTAGACGTCGGGGCCCAACTCGCTCGTCGGGCCGATCGCCTTCGTGCGCAGGCAGCTGCTGGCGACGGCATCGACCTGACCGCCGACGATGAGGTTGAGGATGACGAGCAGGGCCCGCTCTCGGACGGAGAAAGTCTGCTGCTGCTGGCACAGTATGCGCTCCGAAGAGATGGGCCTCCCTTGACACGGTCGACCCTCCGCAGTTTGGTGGATCCGGCGTCGACCTCTTCTGCCGGGGGCGACGGGGCGGCGGTGCTGCGACGAGGCAGCGTCGATTACCGGGGTGGTTCGGAAGAAGAGTCGGCGCTGCTGCGTGCGATTGCCGAGAAGCGGCTGGAGCTCGAAAGCAGCCGGGCTGCCTCGGGGGGCGACGTCGAGGCCGAGCGGAGACGGCTTTGCGTCGTCTGCTGCGTCGAAGAGAGGTGAGTGGTAGTCACGCTGCTTGGTGTCCTTGCTTGGCCTTGTGCTGCTCTTGCTGACGCCCTCGACCTCCTCACCCACCTCGTTGCCTCTGCTACCGATGTCGATCAGGAACGTCATCTGCTGGCCTTGCCGGTGCCTGTGCCTGTGCATGGACTGCCGCGAGCACCTGGCCTCTCGTCCGCCCAACCGGGCTCCTGGAGCGACGAGGGACGGGGGGTCGGCGCACCTCTGCCCCACGTGCCGGACGCCCGTCGAGGCCTTTTCGCGGCTGTATGTACCCTAGCCGACTGGCGACGATGCCGGCCTAGAACCAGTCAATCCAGTCGCCGCAAAGATAGGGGAGGGTGGTTCTGCGTTGCTCGTGCGCCTGTCCCACCGGAAGAGGGATGGCGAGGGAGGGGTGGGGTGGCGATGGGTGGGTGTTGGCCAAGCTCGACGGACGGGCGGCTGGCAAAGCTGCGCAGCCCAGCAAAGTGTCTGCCTCCACTTGGCTCGTCGACTCTTCGTTTCGGCGGCCAGAGAGGCGGCCGTCGGACCTTTTTGCTGCGAATTTCAGGCACCTTTTTCCTGACCCGAGGACCATCGCTGCCACCTGCCACCTGCCACCACCATCATCTTCACCAGCAAACTCGCGAACAGCCACCGCCACCGCCACCGCCGCCAACGCCAACGCCAACGCCGACACAAGCGCACCATTCCTGGATCCAAGCTCGAGCCTGGCCGAGCCACATCTCCGCTGCGCCATCAGGTGCACCTTGCCTTTGAGACGAGATCAGCCAGGCTCGGTCGACCTGCGCTGCATCTCTGCCTGTCGCTTCGCCCTCTGGCACCACCATCGACTGCCATCTGAGCGCTTCGCCCGCTCGCTCCAACCATGTCGGATGCTACCGTCTCCTCCTACTTCTCCAACCTCTTCTCCTCGCAGTCGAGCCGAAATGCCCTCTTCCTCGGCTCGATTGCCATTGGCTCCTCGCTAGCCACCGCCGCCGCCATCTTTGGCACCCAGCGCCTCTCGCGCAGAAAGAAGCGCAAGGACCTCGGAGACACGATCCGCAACGCCGCCACAAGCGCAAACGAGCGCCGCCTCGACCCCAACTTTGCCCACCCCAGGGACGAGTCGTCCTCGACCACCACCGATGCCGGCACCCCGCGCTACCTCGCCGGCCTCTCTGCCGGACAGCTCCGCCCCTCGTCCGGCCTGCGCCACTCGCACAGCTTCAACACCTCGGCCTCGGTCCCGCCCATCCTCACCCCCTCCCGCAAGCAGACGGCCGGCTCCTCTTTCAACGAGCCCCCAGAGTGGGACGAGAGCCTGATCCGCGAGCAGCTCTCGCGCAACTACAGCTTCCTCGGCGACCAGGGCATGGAACACATCCGCAACTCGTTTGTCATTGTCGTCGGCGCCGGCGGCGTCGGCAGCTGGGCAGCCCTCATGCTCCTCCGCTCCGGCGTCGGCAAGCTCCGCCTCATCGACTTTGACCAGGTCAGCCTCTCGTCGCTCAACCGCCACGCCTGCGCCAACCTCGCCGACGTCGGCCGCCCAAAGGTCGTCTGCTGCGCCGAAAAGTTTGCCCAGATCGCGCCCTGGGCCACCCTCGAGGCGTGGGTCGAGCTCTTCCGCGGCGACGAGGCCGAGAGGCTGCTCGGAGGCAACCCCACCTACGTCATCGACGCCATCGACAACATCGACACCAAGGTCGAGCTGCTGCGCTACTGCGCGGAAAACAAAATCAAGGTCATCTCGTCGATGGGCGCCGGCGCCAAGTCGGACCCCTCGCGCATCCAGATCAGCGACATCTCGACCACCAGCGAGGACCCGCTGGCCAGGTCCGTCAGGCGCAGGCTGAGGGCGCTCGGCATCCCGCCCCTTCCGCCCAAGGAGGCGGACGAGGAGCGTGCCGACGCAAAGGCGAGTGACGACGCGGGCGGCAAGAAGGCCAAGCCCGGCAAGGCGGCCCAGAATCTGGCGCCCGCCCAGATTGACCTGGACAGGACTCCCGTCAGGGGCGCCGCTGCTGGCGGACCCAGCGGCAGCGCCAGTGGCAGCGATGCGGAGAGGGAGGCGCCCGGCTCGCCCAACCGCCTCCTCGGCTCCAACGGCGCCGGCAAGTCGAGGACGCCGCTTGTGCCCTCGCCGCTTGGCGGGTCGCCCATGCAGTCGCCTCGCATCCCTCCCGCCGCCGTCGCGCCGATGCCCAACGTCCGCAAGGCGCATTCCCGCCGGGCCTCGTCGGTGTCGTCGTTTGGCTCGGGCGCCTACGCCACGCCGCTGACGACGCCGTCTGACGAAATGGCGGCGCTGCTGCCTGCGGATCAGCAGGAAGGCTGGGCTCCCCTCGATGGCGACGACAAGGAGCGGTCCGCCGAAGACGCCAGGCCATTCACGCTGGACGGGTCGGCGCAGGCGCAGGACGAGGCCAATGGCGTCGACGATGCCAAGGCCGAGGAGGCAGAAGTCGAGGCGCAGACAAAGGCGGACGCCGTTCGGTCCAAGGCCGAGGTGCCCGAGGACGTTTTCGTTGACGACGACGGATTGGGGCCCAAGGTGGCTCCATTGCAACAGCCCGTGATCGAGAAGCCGCTAGGGGGCAGCGGAGCGCCTCGGATGGGGCGGCACGCTTCGCGCACATCGGACCTGGAAGAGATGACGCCCGGGTCCACGACGTCCTCGCCCGCAGTCTCTCGCTCCACCTCGTACCGCAACTCCTCTGCGGCGGCGGCCGCGGCGGCGGCAGCGACAACGAAGACAACGACGACAACGACGGCTGCCGCTGCTGCTGCGGAAATTGACCTGAGCGGCCCGCCTCCAGAGCCGAGCTTCTTCATTCCGTGCGTCTACTCGACGGAAAAGTCGGACACGCGGCTGCTGCCGCTGGACGAGGACGAGTTCCAAAAGGGCAGCGTCGACGAGCTGGCGGCGCTCGAGGACTTCCGCGTGCGCATCCTGCCCGTCCTCGGCCCGCTGCCCGCCATGTTTGGGTTGGCGGTGGCGACGTACATCATCTGCGAGCTGGCCGGCCACAAGATGGAGCCGCTGGCGTTCAAGGGCCGTCGCAAGCTATACGAAAAGGTACGTTGCGTCTGCACTGCGGTCCCCTCCCGGCCGCGATTGGACCGATTCACCAAACGACTGACCCCAGTTGAACCTCTGCTCTGCGATGTCTTCCTCCCTGGACAGGTGGCGAGCGACCTGCGCGTGTCGGAATCGCGATACCGCGTACCGGGCAGCAGCAGCAGCAGCAGCACGACGAGTACCACCAACGGCGCGGGCGGCTCGACATCGGGTCCGCACCTCGGCATCCCCTTCAACGTCAACGACGTGTGCTACCTGTTCGAGGAAGTGTTTCGCGGGCGCTCCGTCGTCCCGCCGTTTGATTCGCTATCGCAGGCGCAGCTGGAGCGGTGGGACTCGACGCTGCCGCTGTCGTACAGCAACGTGGCGCTGTTTAGCCGCGCCCAGGCCAAGATCCACGAGCGCGAGGTGCTCAAAAAGGGCCGCAGCCCCATCGAGGTGTGGGGCAGCGAGACGGCGCGCATGGTCAAGCGCCGCATGGCTGAGCAGAGGGTCAGTGGCTTCTTTAGATAGCTCGGTCGGTGGCGCAGTTGCGGTGTCGGCGCGGCGCCTCGAATCTCAATGCTGTCTGGCTGTCTGGCTGGCTGGCTGTCTGGCTAGCTACATAGCTTCGGATATTGATTGCGGCGCGGGCTGAAAGACGTCTTGTTGTCGACGTCGAGAGCGTGGATCGTCTTTGGTGTTGCTCTCATACGATCAGAGGCACGAACCCCACTTACGACTAACCAGCCCGAGTCAGCGCCACGCAGCCCAGGTCAGCGACGCCCAGCGACGCCACGGCAGATCAAGCCAGGCGGGCGGCTGCGTTGTCCGCCCACCCGCCCTGCTGCGCACTAGCTACCGTAGCTACTGTATGTACTGTAGTTACCAGAGTGTACCGCGGATCGCAAGCTAAGATCCCGCGGCCGCCCTCGTCGTCGGTTTGCGAGTTGCTCGCTGAGGATGACGGCTTCTGCACCGCGCGCTCGCAACGAGCGAGACGCCATTCGCCCCCTCGGCATGGATGCTTACCCATCTCTTCCGGCTCGACCGCGACCGCGACCTTGTGAAAAAGCATCTCGAAACGGGACGAGACGACACGAGACGTCGGTACCCCTCCCCCTGTCATTTGTCGGTACACCGCACCGCTGACCGGGGGTTCCGACGCGACTGCACCTGTACCCCCCCCCCC